ACATATTTTAGTCAAACGCTGAGTCAATTTGACCCCTGTTTGACAGACCGCAGAGTCAACTGCGGCAACGCCGAATTGATGGGCTTGTAAAACTGATGCGTTCAATGTTCGAGACCACAAAATGAAAGTAAGGGACCAGAGAAGAGGCTTGTCTATGAAAATGTGGATCTTACGATAAAATCGGTAAATAAGTCAAAACTGGGATTCCGTAACAGGACCTCAGAGTGCTTACACCTACCCTTACTGGTTCTCTGTTGGATATCGGGTTCGGAAGGAGTGGTAGTTCACCTGTTTCGATGGAGCTCTGACGCACCAGCGATTAAACATCGAATGAGCATTCCAGCGTTGTCTGGCGTCCTCTGATAAAAACAAATTCTCTGGTTTTAGGGATTATTTTCTTGGACTTTTTCACAGAATTTCACCAGCGTTTTAATCCACTGCATTTGAAAATGTCATTTGAAACTTTCAAGTAAAACTCTTAATTATTATCGAAAAAACCATGCCACTGGAAAAAAGTTGGCAACACTTGAAAGCTCTTAGGTCGTTCCTCGTTAGCAGGGCAGTCGGATCCAGTGGCCGTCAATCCTGTAGCGAGATCGCGCTAAGTGGATCCACCCTTGAGGAGCGGCAAGAAAACAGCACTTGAAACCAATAGTTATCCTACGCCATATACGCGGTTATTCCTAACGGAGGAATCTGCAAAAGCAGCGTCACAACAATGCTTTCCGCCACCTTGATTTTCTTACCTGGAATCGAGGTTTTCGAACGGTAGAGGCGCCTAACTAGGTGCCAAAACGGTGCGCTCTCACAGTGGACCTGTCTGCGCAGAAACCACACGTGCAGCTCCAATAAAAGAGCAGTCTGTTATCTCTCAGGCGAATCGGGAGAAATCCAGTGGCGTGGCGTGAATTGCGATATATCGATTGTTATGCCATTTAAACCTATGGTAAATAATCGATTATTAAGGTGTTCGCTGCGAACACCCTGTTCATCGATCTTTTTCCATAGGTTTAAATGGCATAACAATCGATATATCGCAATTCACGCCACGCCACTGAAGAAATCCCTCGGGAGCGCCGCGCCGTTTATCCCTGAAATGATTGGAGGCCGTGTCATTTGCTAAGAGGTGAAACTAATTACCTGGACGGGATTATATACCTATGCGGTGGTCGACCCGCCGGGAAGATCAGACGCTATTTAGGGGGTTTTCTCCGAATAATGGATTGACTCCCCGTGAATCGACGCCTTCGGGTAACCTTTTCGTTTTGTTTACTCTTTTGTGCGCTCTGATTCGACCCCCGCCCCTTCAACGTAACAATGCGCTCTTGATAGGTGGAGATCATCGAGATCTTTCCCAGGTAATTATGTAATATAATTGATTGAGCATTTCGTGAATCTATTCACACACACAAAATGTCGTATTGACCGCTTGATGACCAATTATGGTGACTTTTCGAACGTAAAGAACTTTTCGAAATTAACCCTCGGCCATTTCGAAGAGATCCAAAAGATCGAAACACTGGACAAAAAATTCGGCTGGATCTAGAGTCCGCAGACTCTTGAAAACAATAACAAGAAAAAATCCACTTGATTCAATCGGATTTTTGCTTGAATCAAAAAGAAATCCGCATAAATTAAGAGCCTTGGTTCTCGATCTAAGCAAAAATCCGATTGAATCAAGAGTCTTTTTGCTTGTCAATATTTTTAAGAGTCTGGACTCTAGATCCAAGCTACTTTTTTTTCAGTAAATTTGCACAAGACAGCAGGAGACACTTCTCTCTCGCAAAATTATCATTAAAGAAGTTTGTAATTTTACTAATTTATCACCTTTTCTCCTTTTTTTCCAGTTTCATGTTGCATCAAGATCAAGAATAGCATTAAAGACCATGAATTAAAACGCGTGTTTCTTCCCCACAGATTTTCCGACATTCGGCGTGGGCGTCTCATATTGTGATGGCGTTGTTGATCAGCTGGGACATTCTCAAAGATGCAAAATGAAATTTCACAGAATGAAAATGAAAAGAATTTCACATAAAATTTTATTTCCCAGAAAAGTGAAATAAAATGTTCCATGGATTTTCAAAGATTTGTCAGGGGCTGCGGATGCTACCCGCGACAATTATTCGACATTTTCATAGACACTTCGAAATTTGACTCATGGTGTTTTTTTAAACAAAATTTCAAAATTTGGATTATACAATTCCATACGTTATTTCATACCGAATCCACGGCAGAAGTTTGAAACAATTTTATTAAATTTCATTTAAGTTTAATGAAATTTTGCATCTCTGAGCCATTCCGGGGGACTTCGAGAAATCTCATGCGCTACAATGCTCCACCACGTAAAAGCAAATTTGACCGCGCTGCAAAATCGCAGGACCAACTACGATGATTTTAATCTACCTGTTTACGTGAGTAATGCGAATGGTCTTATCAGGGGCGACAGTATATAGATCGTATTCGATAGCGGTTCGATGTATCGTTTGGTTCAAAACAATAAAACATAGCCTCCAACAAGACTTTCAGGATTTCAGTCGGAAAATCTATAAATGAGAAAATTCCTAACTATTTCACCTTGCGATGCCATTTAGTACTCATAAGAATCATAAACCTATCAGAAAAACCCCGTTTCCTCAGATTACTCGATTGACTTCGGAGGCTATGTTTACACGTTGAACCAATTGATATCGATACAATCTCACCTATTTGATGTATCGAAAAAGATCTATAGGTTTTAAATCATAGTGTCCGGTTGCGCGACTCTGCGTCGCGGGCCCAACTTCGCACCGCGCACTGCCTGTGGGAGCGTGGCTCAGGAACAAGCCCAAACGGGCAATGCCAAGGCACATGCAAATTGCGGCACATGCATTGATTGACCTCAGTTGCGGTCGTCTACGTGCTTTTGTAGCTTAGGAGCACGTGGTCTTGTCGACTCACAAGTCTCCCACTTGTTAGCTGATATCAGCCTGAACGTATTTGGGTCCCAGGGAACTTTCCAAAAGTAGCTAATGAGGCAGAGGCAAAATCAAGTGTCCAATTAAAAGTAGAAACTCGTGCTTCGACTAGTTCCGAATCTTTTAGGGGAAATCTTTTTGGTTATTCCTTATATAAAGGGTGAAAATTGAGAGGAATAGGAACTGCCCTTATAAGCATAGGGCTGGATTGCAACATACTTCCCTTTAGCATAAATACGTCAAATTATATCTCCTCTGAAATAAAAACTGTGTATGCAACAAAAATCAGCAAAAAAAAAAAAAAAAAAAAAAAAAAAAAAAAAAAAAAAAATGAGAACATTCTGTTTTTTGCTTTCATCTTTAGAACTGACAATCAGCCTATAAAATGATTTTAGATTCAACGAATTTGTACCATAAAATAGTTTTACTTCACAAAAAATAACAGACATAGAGAATTCAAAACTCAATGTAAACCCACGGATATCAGACGATTTAAACATAGCACAAAGATTCCGGGACAGGGATAGGTATTTACAAAATAAGTGTTTTAAATTCCAGATACTTTGTAACAACAAAAATATACACGATTTCTTTCCGTTTTCTCTGAGACATTTAAACAAATTCCATAACAGTTACAATAAATTCATCTTGATTGATACATCAACAATTATTAAAACATCTAGGTATTATCACGATATGAATTTACAGTATTGTACAGTTGAAGTCAAAAGTTTGGAAAGAATCTAAACATTGCTGAGGTAATAACATCAAATTTACTGAGATATTAAGAAGTTGGTAAAAATGGGAATCTATACAAAATGGCAAATAACTAATCTCCGTAAGTCAGGAAAATTCGATTTTTGTAGATAGTGTTTTTACATTTCCACGTGGGTCACTGGCATAAGCTGCCCCAGAAGTCAGCCAGAAGTAAAAATACCACTGCTACTCCTTAACTACAAACAAGAGAGCAAGCGATTTAATCTCAGCAGCATTAAAACCGTTACACCTGTCTAATTTTTCTTAAGCTTCTTCTCTACGCACACAGTGGGGGCTTCAAAAAAGCTCATTGGTGGACCTATCTTGAGCTCCTTTGCCGCAGTCCTGATTTTGTCTTGTCGTGGCGTGGACTTGAGACTTGAAGCCTCAGCTCCACAGGGCGCGAGCGGAGCGGCGCGATGTTGGTCGCGCTGAGACGAGAACGGGCGACTTATTCGGGTGATCGGGTGCAATTGGATCGCATGTAGCAGAAAGGAACCAGTGCGATTACAGTGCTTTCAACACCGCACAACTTCTCCTTTTCTATGAAAAGTACTTGATATATGTAACAGTACTAACATTTACACAATGGAGATGTTGCGTGTGTGAGAAATTTGCGATTTTACTGTGATTCTTATGGAAAAGTTCGCGAGAAAAACGATGGTGCCACTGGTTTTGGATCACATTGACCCGAGTGCCATAATAAATCGTGCTCTGCTGGTTGTGCGGGACCGGTACATACGAGCTTTAGATAGGTTTATAAATACATCGTTATGAAATAATAAGATATCATATTTTAAAAAAAATCGAGGATAAGAGAATTTGTTTTGAACTACCATCCCTGAAAATCCCAAGCCGGATCAAATGGAGATGTTGAGGGGATTTGCGATGTTCGAGGGATTTGCGATTTGACCTTGATACTTGTGTAAAAGTTCGCGAAAAACACGACATTGCCACTGTTTTTTCTCTGAAATCAACTCCCAAGCTCAAAAAAGCTCTCAATTTGAGGCCTAAATGGAGGGAATATCCCACGCTATCCTGAGAGTCCACCTCTACGTCAAGACAAACTCTCCATGCAAAGGTAGGGAGCAAATATATTGACAGGGCTGCCACTTTATTTGGGACTCCGAAACTGAAAACACGGCAACCCTGCTAATGCATTTGTTCCCTATCTTTGCATGGAAAGTTTGTCTTGATGTAGAGGTGGAATCTCAGGATAGTGTGGAATATCCCCTCCATTTTGGCCTCATCTTGAGAGCTTTTTTGAGCTTAGGAGTTGATTACAGAGAAAACCAGTGGCACCATCGTTTTTCTCGCGAACTTTTACATACGAATCAACAGTCAAATCACAAATTCCTCGCACATGCAACATCTTAATTATTTTCCTTTGAAATAAACAATTGTTTGGTGGGCAGCCAAAACTTTTTGCTATTCTGGGAGATTTTTTAGATAATTATGAAGCGGCAACATTTTTACAAAACCGTAATCGCGCGCTGGTTCCTTTTTGCTAAATGCTATCCAATTATTTTAAACATGCCACAGACGTTTGCGGCGCGAATCCCTTCCTTAAAAGCTTCAATAGACAGGTTCCACCGTCACACCGGATTCATCACGCGGGACAGTGGCGTGGCGTGCTTTGCGATATATCGAATGTTATGCCATTTAAACCCATGGAAAAGGATCAATAAACAGGATATTCGCAGCGAACACCTTAATAATCGATTCTTTACCACAGGTTTAAATGGCATAACAATCGATATATCGCAATTCACGCCACGCGACTGACGCGGGAATCTGCCGCGCGTGTTGACTTGCCGTCACGCACTCCCTGTGAAACCGTAGCGGCGAGGACTCGCTTTAAGTGGAGTTTGCAGGTTCTTCAGATGATGCTGAAGCGCGCTTCGCGCGGTTTGTAGCCCAGTGGGTCGTGTCGACTGCTCACCGGTTGCTTTGTCAGATTGGCCATGGTGCTCGCCATGAGCACCTCCAAAATCCGACTGACCGTCTGGATGATGAACCAAGGCCACACCGAGCTGTCGTCGCCCGCCGCACTGGACCGGAGTATTCCTGCACGCAACATAACAATAAACAAGAATAATCAAACGCATCAAACGCACGATCAGAGACAAGAGACCCTCCACTGGCCTCCTAGCGACAGGTGGAAGCTTTTACTTTCGGGGTTTCAACAATTCCTTATGGACAATTATTAGGGAGCAACAGTCATCACCCTAGTTTCGGCTGTTGACTTACCTACATGGTCGATGATGAGCTTCGGATGACGTCATGAGCCAAACAACTTTCCCAAACGTCGGCCATTTTCGGCTTGTTTGCAAAACGAAACTGCCAACACGTTGTCGAACATCAACCATGTAGGTAAGTCAACAGTAGAATGCTGAAGTCCCGAAAGTAAAAGCTTCCACCATGGCCAAGATACTAGTGGAGGGTCTCTTGTCTCTGCGCACGATATAGCATGGAGGGAGCTACGTTCAAACTAGGGGCTCTGAAAGGGCTCATTGGTTACCGCAACTTGCATAGCTGGCCAATGAGATGCCAGAAAAGGCATTAACGAGTTCCCTTTAAACCCTCAGTTTTAACGTGGAGAAATGTCTCATCAAGTAATTCGTCTGATATGTTCAATATCAGTACCAACACTGAGAAAAAATTATGGTTGTTATTACCATATGACTGGTGTTCAATATGAACCCTTAGTTAGTAGTTGCCATAACCAATAATTGAGATATTTTTACCATTAAATGGTAATTTTACTACCGCACACTTGTAAAATTACGGTGATTGCTCCAGTAAAAATATCACTATTATTGATTATGGCCACTACTAATTAAGAGTGCATATTGGACACTACTAATATGGTAATTATAACCATAGTTTTTTCTCAGTGTAAGGCTTCATTAAGTCATTAGGATTGAAAAAATGACGGATCGTAATAATAGAACATCGAGCTAGGAGCCGATTAAATATATACAATAAACGACATTTATATTATTTTAGGTACTTCAGTTATATGATGTCAAACAAAGAGGCAATTGAAAATAGTTTGAGAGACAGGAATTCACTCTCTCTGGATTGACCTTAACTTCCATGTTTTATAAACATTTCCTCTAGTTGATTTCTTAGCCAGCCAAAAGATTCCCGCATTCTAATGTAAAATGGCGGATGTTGCATTCATGATTTAAAATTACAGTAGATGAAGTTTTTTATTATGAAGTTACTTCATTCACAATACTTTACTCTTACCCTGGCCAGTTTGCCTTCAAAAATTTGTCTGAGCCTCTTTGGAGCAGTAATAGTTGCTTGCGCCATTTTGACCATGTTCACTTGGTTCTAGCAGAAAATTCATTAAAGTTGCAACTACCAGACCACACACCTAGGTTTTTCTGACATTTCCATGTCATATAATTAATTTTTTTAATGGAAAACTAATCGACTTTGAAAACTGCCGTGAATTTCCTTCTCTGTGGGAGGAAAAAGTCTGACAATTTCAAGGTGTGCTATTGAATTTTTCTCCTTCAAAAGAATAAAATGGGAGACAAGATTTTTAAACACCGCAAACGAGATACGTGGTTTGGTACTCTCACCGTTGATATGCTGATGCGTATCACCGTGGAATTTTCAAATCACGCACTCATGCATAATTAGTGGTTTTTGAAACTAATTTTTTGAGCTACATTAACAAAATTGTTTCAATCGAAACCTATTCATTGCAAAGGATGTCAGCAGACCGTGATAACTATTGATTGTCGGCGTTAAAACCCTTTTATATAGAGTTTACGTCATTTTTTTGGTCCCTGAGAGTCTTTATCCGCCCCTGTGTCCATACTCTCTTCGTAATTAAAGTTCTCCTTCAGACACCTGCATTACAACGCAGATGATATCATAAATAGTTCGTGTGAAACACTGGGGTACACTGAACATTTTCGAATTCGCTGTAAAAGTGAGGAATATTGAATCCGCATTTTTTCGTATTAGTGGATTCGACTTCCCGCTCACCAAAACACAAATGTCTGCTGGAATGAATTAGAGTACATAACTAGTTTACAGTGCACTTTTCAATGATTTACTCAATAGTTTTTGCAAGATTTTTTTCCTAATTTTTCTTATTTTTCATTTCGGGGAATATTACCTAAGTCTGTATAAACATCGTCATGCTCATGCTGTTTAAATATCCGTATTTATAAATATTGAATTGAAGAAATAAAAGGAACTTAAAAAAATGGAAAGAAACAAATCCTGATGATTCACATGAACTTGAAAGAGCGCAGTGATTCAATACTGCAACGCCATCTGTAGCATAGCGGTGGGACTATTCGCTCTATAAAACTCAGGAGAAAATCAATATAGAGGTGCGCTCTTGTGGCCAGCGGATAAACTACAGAGGAGCGAGTTGATGGGCGGGAAGTTTGAAATGAATGAGCTAGTTAAGTATTGGGGCATGGCTCAATCCATTTTACAATCGCGTTGAACTAAATTTTATTTGAAACAATCGACTACATCGTTAGGGAAGGAACCGCTTTACACACAGCTCAAAAATTCAATAGACATCTCCAAATTGAGGCTCAGCAATATCTTTTTACTTGTGTTGGATTTTCCTCTATCATCATCTTTATTTTGTGTTTTTTGCCATGTCAATAAAAAACTCGAGAGGAATTCTATTTTTATTATTTTAGTTACGTAGTATCGAAGTAAAAAGAGAAGGCAAAAAACAAGAGAATAACCAGGGATAATTCAAAAGTGCTCATTTCATGAGTGTAAAGTCATTTCAAACCTTTCTGTCTTTTCCTATTAAACAGAAATCTAAATTATTTCACTGATCACCTTTCCAATTATTCTCGTATGGTTAATATAATTACTGTAATTTTTAATTAATAGAAAGAGAAATAAGGTGATCAAATTTCAACGACTGAAAAGGTGTAAACGAAGCAATAGTCTCCTGGACCCATTGAGCTCGTTGCTTAAATTCAAATAAAAACAATTGAAAATGGAAGAAAAAGTAAAATAATAATGTGTAAATGCTCCTGCACATAAAATGAGTGCCTTTCTCTTGATTTGGTTTTACCAATACCTTTTCATTTAATTTCTCGAATTATCTTCAGAATGGGAAAATTACCCCATAATGAGATATTTATTTTAATTTAATTGGATACAATATTTTAATATTTTATTTAAATATTGTTTCTTAAAATATTTTAGCTCACAGCTGAAATATTGAAATCAGAGACCGATTAAACGGCGTGTTACAGTGACAAACCGCAGCAATTTATACAATTTTGCTACGTAAAAACCCTTAATTTTTGGTTCGATTTAGAAAAACTAGACGCGTCATTTCTCAAACAGATGCCTGAGGGGATGAGCCAAAAATATTGGTTCTTAATTGCAACATGTACTCCGATTCAAAATTAGTATGCTCCTATTTGGCATATTTTCCACTTGATACTGTGAATATCCGCCAATCGTTAAGGAGCAAGCAGACTCATTGTTTCTATAACGCAAATTATTTTATCCTGCAAAATTCTATCAAATTGTTTAGTTCGTGACTAAATAGTCACGTTGTGTGATTTTTGAACCCCCTCTTCTCACCATCGTAAATGAAAAACGAAAATAGATACAAACCATAGGGACCTAATATAAGAAAAACGTTGATGCAAGAGAGCGCTATGCCGGAGATGGCTACTAAGTAAGTCAATTTCAGGATGGAAGATATTTGCTTTTTCGTGTTCGAACGGGTGGGCGTTTTCAGCTCTCCGTCGTTGGACCCTCGCGTGTTAGCGTACGCTATGTGATTCAATATTGTGTCGAGTGTCACAGCGTCAAACCCGGGAACAGCGTCTTTTTTCTGAAAAAGATAATGGAAAAGTGAGCTCATCGTGAAATGAGGTTATCCTGAGCGTATAAATCGCCTGCAAAATATCGTATATGCAATACTCGACTCTCCTGTACGAATAGTTGTATCAAGATTGACATTGAAAAAAGGAAGGCGCTGACTACGCTCCTAAGTCACGTGCCCGACTGCTGCAGTGTTTGGAATCAATGTGAGATTAGTTGTATTTTAAAAAATTGAACAGAAGCGAGAATCTACACCTCCTCTGGCTTTAGAATCGATTTTGGCCACACAATATTGTTGATTACATCAATTCGATTATTTATGTAGTTAAAAGAAAATGAGTGTATATCAGACACTGATTGATTATGGAGTTTTTTTTTTTTTTTTTTCCTACTTCAATTAGCCCACAAGGACTAATCTTGCGCTCAGTAAACTCAGATTCGAACAAAAGTGAAAAAAACATAAAATTTGAATACTGAGAGGTTAAGATAAACGCCCCATGAACATTCAGACATCATTGCCAAATCTCCTCCGTAAAATATGTAATTTTAAAGATAGTTACAGTCTTCTTTGTAATTTTCAGAAGCCTTAGCTTTAATTCCGACTGAGATTCCCTACAAAGTTGCGGAAACAACTCTCACAAATTTTACCGAAAATTCTTATTTCCTGAAAGGCATTTAGGTAACCTTCGAAAGTTCATGAGGAGTTCATCCTTCACAAGGTTGAACATACGGTGTCAAATAAACTTACATCATCAGTCGTAACTGTCATTAGTCCCTTTTTCCCGCTTTCTACGGCTGAAGGAGCTGCTTCTTCTGCTTTTGAAGGCTGCAAAAAAGTTACGATTCGGTTAAACTATATTATGATTATCTTGCATCATAGGTTTGACTAACAATAAACGCTGATAAAAATGTTTCCTGAACTTGTGTTCAAGAATGTAAACAGGATGAAGGAGAAAGAAAGCGCGAGGGCAAAGAGGTGGAAATCGTGACGTAGTAGTAGATAAGCTCTGTTTCCTTGATTTTTTTCTTGCTTTCGATTGCTCAGTGATTGGAAAATCCACAATCGAAGTCGAAAACAAAAAGTTCAAGCTTTTGAACTTTTTACACGCCGCGGTCAAGAGCTGTGCTTCCAAGACTGATAGGGGAAGTAGCGGGAAACTTCGTGGCAACTAATTCTGACCTCTCAGCGTGAGACCGAGTTTCTTCAAGCACTTTCTCAAGAATAGCAAACCAGACGTGAGCAATCAAAGCTTTTTTCTATCGCATCGTGATGGTTGGAACAAACTCTACGCCATACCGACATTCGAATGTGCCGTTTTGCTCTCATTTGTTATCAAGAATAATAATTGGGCGGATCATAAGCCTTCAAATAAGTTTACGAAGAACGGTCCACGTGTAAAGAAGTCTTGGTGTAAAAAAAAAAAACTCGGAATTAAAGTAAAACAGCTCCTGTTTACTGCTGAAATGAGTTCTATATGAATATTTTGGAACGAATCCCGCTCATAATATCGAAGTAAGCCAAAGTTATGACGGTTTGGAGTTCGCAATTTAAGATAACGTCGTTTTGAGAAAAATATTTCTAAATTTTTATTCTTTTTTGTTGAGCATTTCAGCTGACAGAAAAGGACGTAACTTTGCAGAGTCGTGCAACTTTAACTGCACAAAGAGAATGGCATGAGAAGCAGTGACGTAGCTTGCTTTGCGATATATCGATTGATTAAAACCTATGGAAAAGGATCGATAAACAGAATGTTCGCAAAAAACACCTCAATAATCGATTCTTATCCATAGCTTTAAATGGGGAAATATCGATAATAATCGACCATTCACCCCTCGCCTTTGATAGAACTCTGAAAAATGGAAATACTGGCGCGAATCCAAGATCAAACGAGGCATGTCTAAACTCCCTTACAATATAGAAATCGCAAGAAGGGCATTATTGCTTAAGCCGATTGGAATCGTCTCACAGTAAAACTGGAATTGGATTTTAAAACTGAAGTATTTCCCGGAGTGGCATCCTCAGATATTGGGCAGTGGCGAACCGCGAATTATTGGCAATCGATATTTTCCATTCTAAACTATGTTAAAGACTCGATTATTAAGGTATAACCTAATGATAATCTCTCTATAGGTTTTTACATTAGGCTAGTCGATTCATCACAGAGCACGACACGCCTCTGATACTGAGCTCTCAATATCGGCAGCGTTGCTCGTTTGTGACAATCTACGAACGACATAATTGTAGCTGCATTTTAAAAGAAAAGAAAAAGAGAAAAAAGAAAAAGTTAAGATAAGAGCGCTAATATTCATTGTTGAGAAATTCTCTAATCAAGTAGTTTAATATGTAATGGAAACACTGAATTCTAGATCATTTTAAATATGAGTTGGCAATTTGATTTGTGACGCATAGCTTATTAAATTTGTATTAAAATTTAGTGAATTTTTTAGGGATGAAAATTAGTGAGCTTTATATGATGTTACTCTTTAGTACCTTTTAAGTTTTGATATGAATTGAAAAAGCTAGAATATGTAGAATTAAAATGTTAAAATTACAACTAATGCACAGAAGATTCAATGAAACTTTTAAAGAAAAAAAAGTTGTGAAGAAAGGGTTCTCTAAATCACCTGTCACAAACTTTTTTTCACGTGATTTACATTCTCTTGAAATGTGTATTTTCTTACGATTCTCTCAAGTATCTGGCCACTAGAAAATACTTCATACGGTCACTACCATGAGACACCTACTTCCAGAGTCGCCCTCTTCAAGCCCGTAGGACTAAATAAATTAACGTTAAAATGGTAGCAAAAACTTCAAACCCTCTCCAAACTCTGGCAAAGTTACACCTCCAGGTGACGTAACTAAAAGCTTCGTCCCATGCAGAAGTGCAGCTGAAGAGAGACAAGCTAAAAGCTGCGGAGCCATCTCCGTTATTCTAATCAAGCCGCCTTTTCTCCGCCCTTGCCGTCAGAAAAAAACCCGTAAAATTGCGCCCGGTGTTTTTTGTGAGTACGTAATTTCTTTATTAAATGAAGGAGATTTTTTTTCTGAGTCTTGCCTTGCCATCAATGCTCCCATTCCGCCTCGAGAACTTTTTCCAAGTTTTTCTTGCGCTCTCAACTTTATGGTTTTGAAACTTCTTTAATTTTTATGCTCTGCTGTCAGTTTTTATTGAAGTTTCAATTAAGCTAATTGTTCTTTTCTATTTGGGCACATGCAGAATATTTCGTGCAAATTAATTATTACTGGTGGTTCTGTTATGAAAAAAGTTGCGTAAAAAGGAAGTTCGTTCGGTGTTCCATATCATCCTAGCTATTTGGTTTATGACTCCGAACTTCCAGCTCGTGAAACTGACTGTTCGGTTCACCCAATCGGACTTATGAGGAAAAAGAACGAGGTAAAAAGGCTGGTTTGATGAAATATCAACCGAACTTTCCGAACTTCCGCAGCTGGACCTGAAGTTTTCGGTTGCAAGAGCCGAAAAACGTCGGAGATTCATACATATGACCCGAAATTTAAGTCTTAGACACGATGTTTTTTTCTCAGTGTAAAGCGTAACGGAATTTTTAGAAACCATGACGGGTATGAACGAAACTATGTATTGAAATTGCTCGGAAATATGTGACTAAGAGCACTGAAATGCATATAACTGGTTAGCACGGGTCGCAATTTTCCTGTAATGTATTAACTGCGTAGCTCTGACTAGCTATACCATAAGTATGCCTCGAATAAAGCCTGCATACGTGACTCCATAAACTCAGTGAAATCTGCCGTCAACGACTAGGAGTATTGCATTAAATTCTGCTAACTATTCTTTGTCAAATTTTTATACCAACAGTCACATTAATTAAGTAATTAATAAGACTTGTGGTTAAACATTTTGAGAGAAAATAGTTGGTGGAATTTAATACAAAACTACAAGCCGTTGACATCAGATTTCAGTGATGTAATAGAGTCACGTATGCAGCCTTTATTAGAGGCATACGAAGGCTGGTCAGAGCTATGCAAACTTTCTCTTTATGAAATATTTATTTTCAATGGCATTATGTACAATTTTCCTAGAAATTTTCAAATATTTTGCATTGAATGGATTTTCATTTTCTGTCTCCAGTGCGTTTTTAAGCCGAGAGTGAAAAAATATTGGTGAATTCCTGTTAAAGAGTTTTAAGAAGGTCCAGCTTTAAAGAGTTTTGAACTTCTCGTCGTGTAAACTGTTTTTTGAGTAAGATCTTGAAGATATAACATTTCGCGTTTCTCCTAGTTTTGACCTTGTCGCGTGGACAATGGACCATTGTGCTTACTTCGGAATTCAGCTAAGAATTTTTTTTAAACGCCCGTATGTGCGCCTGAGTGTTATTAAATTTTTATGTCGGTTAGTTCATTGAAAATTAAAAAAAAAAAAAAATTCAAATTCAGTTTATTATACCTGCAACGGAGTCGCTTCTTCTGCTTTATTTTTTATCGAAGAGGGTTTTTCTTCCAGTTTCCAACTCAGCTGCTTTTTGAATGGTTGGTCCTTTGAGGGGACACCCAAATTACTTTCCTTACTTAGTATGGTTTTTGGCATACCAGTCTTAGTTGACAGAGATGTTTTCGCCGGGAAGCCTGTAAATAAAAGAAAAAACATTTTCCGTTTAGCGTTCCTCCCGAAGTATCATCATCTGTTTGTCTCATGTGTGGTCAATATTTTTCAGCAGTATGACATCATAAATTTACTTAGATTAAAATCTCCTGACAGTTAAAACTATTGAGCTAAAAAATTACATTAGTTATTTAAAAAGAAGTTGTTTGAACTGAAGTATGGTTGCGGTTGTAATGACTTTTTGGATAAATGGAAACCAAAGATTAAATGAGGGTCGAATCAAAATATTCAATTTTTTTAGAGTTACGCTCCAATATGGAAGGAGGAAGCGCGTGAGCGATAAGCGGGACCCCCGCGTATATATTATAGATTTTTGGCAAATATCTGCCTTTTATCGAAACTTTCTTTGTAGAAAGATTCTTTCCGCTTGAAAACGTTTGCATTTGGTGGGTGCGAAACAACTCGATTTTGCTCCCCATCCCTCACCAGGAAAATGCTCAAACTTTGACAAGTGATTTAATCGTGAATGATCGAGAAGTCTCAACCCTGAAAGTTTCAAAACTTGGGAAAAAACCGAGGAAGACTTGAGAGGAGTTCAAAGTTCAACTTTTGAAAGTTGCTATATCACCGGTTAGCGAGGTTTCTCTTTACCTATATAAATCAATGAAATAAATTAAAAAATAAATACATCTAGATTTTATAGATTCATGTTATTTATGGCTCCTCCATCGCAGGCCGTGCTTTGCATCCAAAAATACTGACGCTTTGGGTAGGGTGTGTGTCATATATCCCTCGCTTTTACTGCCGTGCTGAGGGGAAACGCCGTATGAAAGTTTCCAGTGTTCTCAATTTTTTTCCTGATACAATATTCATTTTCGGAGAAATCTATTAATACCTTTTCCAGGTAATTTCAGATATTTTAAATGATATTGCGAGTATAATTATCAATAAAATTTGAAGGTAAATACTCACGAAGTTTTCAGAAAATTCAAGAAATATCAAATAAAATTTTGTTACGTTTAAATGTTTATACGACGTTCATCCTTAGCGTGGTGGAACAGCTTCAGGTTTCACAGACAAGAAATCATGCCAGAGAGAAGAAATTTTAACTTGAAACGAGACTGAGATAATTTAATGGAGATGAACGGTACAGCCTAATTTTTTGAAAGAAATCTTAAATGTATTGCCATTCAGAAAAATGTTGGACCAAAAAAAGATAACATCATTATACTCCACAAAAATCACGACAAATTGGTAATTCCCTTGATTTTATTTCTAGCAAAAGCAGTATTGAACTAATGACTTAAAAGGAAAAAAAATAATTGAGAACAACACTACTACATGACGTAAAAAATTTAATAAACTGCAAAATTTTTGTTTTTCCAATTTTCCAAGTTCATTAAATTTTTCAGGTCTTCAAATTGAGGGTATCAATGTTATATAGGACACCCGCAGACGTAGAGACGATACTCGATTTTGACATAAGCCGCAGAAACCGAGGAGTTAACACGAACGACAGGGCTCACTTCGTGAAGTGCATTTATGTCTTTTTATCAGCGAAATGACGAACAGAGGGACACACACACTCACCCGTGCTAGATGTGCTTTTATTTTCAGTTTCACTAGAGGTAGATGCCGGACAGTTCGAAACGGTAGATTGATTGCTTTGCGTGGCAGCTTCTGGAACAAAAATTTATGTGAAAGAAAAATAAATATTCAGCTTTCTTTTATGTCAGATAGAACGGTGCAATGGCGAACGAAGACAATTGTTTATTCATTGGAAATTTTGTAATCTACGACGGACACGAAAACACTCCTTCAGTGAGATATTTAGAGTGTTAACCCTTCAATACCTAAACCGGATCACATTGACCCGAGTGCCATAATAAATCGTGCTCTGCTGGTTGTGCGGGACCGGTACATACGAGCTTTAGATAGGTTTATAAATACATCGTTATGAAATAATAAGATATCACATTTTAAAAAAAATCGAGGATAAGAGAATTTGTTTTGAACTACCATCCCTGAAAATTCCAAGCCGGATCAAATGGAGATGTTGTGGGGATTTGCGATGTTCGAGGGATTTGCGATTTGACCTTGATTCTTATGTAAAAGATCGCGAAAAACACGACGTTGCCACTGTTTTTTCTCTGAAATCAACTCCCAAGCTCAAAAAAAGCTCTCAATTTGAGGCCTAAAATGGAGGGGATGTCCCACGCTATCCTGAGAGTCGACCTCTACATCAAGACAAACTCTCCATGCAAAGATAGGGAGCAAATACATCGACAGGGCTGCCATTTATTATTTGGGGACTCTGAAACTGAAAACATGGCAATCCTGCTAATGTAATTGCTCCCTATCTTTGCATGGAGAGTTTGTGTTGATGTAGAAGTGGACTCTCAGGATAGCGTGGAATATCCCCTCCATTTTGGCCTCAACCTGAGAGCTTTTTTGAGCTTGGGAGTGGATCTCAGAGAAAACCAGTGGCATCATCGTTTTTCTCGCGAAATTTTACGTCAGAATCAACAGTCAAATCGCAAATTCTTCACACATGCAACATCTCCATTGATCCGACCATCTCTATTGGGAGAGTTACAGTGCCGGTAAGTACGAACTAGTGTATAGGTCTACAAATACATCCGAAAAAGAGGAATCAGACGTCGTATTGAAAGAAAGGAAATAACGAGTGTATAAACAGCCGATGATAGGAGCGACGTATTCTGGTCTCGATGTTTGACTTTTCTCCCGAATCTGAGCGGTGATCACTAACAGTAAAAAGCGGAGCATTGTGAGTTTTTGCCTCGCGCCATTGCGCCTTCAGTTTTGCAGATGCAACACGAACATCCAGCAAGCACGAATAGTTATATCTCGGCGCCGTCATCAACGTGCATCCTTTCATTTCCTCCATTTCCGTATGTCTTATTTGTAGTAGTCCTTTGAGGGCTACGGGAGTAACCCAGCCGAGGATACGATCAGTCATTAATTGTTGAATCATATACATGTACATTTTTTTAAATGCCTGATTTAGCAGGATTTGATTCAGCTATTATTTCCTGAAAGAGAGGCTTGCATTTTTTGATTCTAATGTATTGTACAAACATTATTGTTTTACTCATCGGTTTATTTCAGAATTTTTCAACATGTTTGACACGTTTCATGGTTAATATTTTTGAAAGGAAATACAAGTATATCTTGTGGTGCTTCGTAGATTGGCAACAACGGGATTCACCTACCCATTTGAATGCATGCAAAACCATCGATTTATATCAAAACAGGCTGCCTCATCTAGAACTACTTATTTAGTATGGATTGAAATGGAGGGAAAATAGCGAAAGTTTATATTAATGCCGCCCTAAACTAATCGGAATTTTTTTCTCGCAGGTTCAGTGACTTCAACTTCAGTGAAACGTAAGTCTTTCACTTGGAAGTGAGAGAAATTCAAGTGAGAAAATCTCTGCTCCACGTAATATCCGCTTCTTTCCCGGCCGAGTTTTAATAAATCAGATGCCGGGCAAAATCAAAGAGAAACTTGACGGTTATCTCTTTGGAAAACAATGTCTTTTTGCCTTTCAGTTTGAATAATTCATGAAAACGGGAACACGCAGTAATTCTGGGCAAGCGCCTTTGATGTGCGCATCATCATCTTCCTGGCGAGAAACAATTTGTTCGACGAGCTCCTGAAAAAATGAAATAAAAGAGGAGAGAGGGATGAATCTCGAATTCCTTGAACCACTTTTAAGTGTTCAAAACCAGATCCTCGGTGAACTATTATGCGGAATTTTGCGCTGGTATATTTCTCGCCAAGCATTTCCTAACATTTGAAATAAAAACAAACATAGTTGAGCCATAAAATAAAACTTATAATAAATCAGAAAAACGTACAAAAATTACTTAAGAAGATGCATTAGAATAATGACAAGAAAGGATGAAAAAGGATAAACGTATAATTGTACTACAGGATTAGTCTGAATTGGACATATTTCCATCAAACGGAACTATGTGCATAATGATGTGAGCCCTCTTATACACATAGTCATATGGGTCTCAGGGCTCATGTCTTAATGCACATAGTTCCGTTTGATAGAGATACGTCCAATGGACGAAATTATTCTCACAGTCGATACTCGATCATGATCACCCGAGTATCTCTTGCCTGCGAAGCTATTTAAAATAGGGCGTTTCAAAATGAACACCTTTAAAGTGAATGTGCTAAAGCCACTGAATTCGGTCCCATAATAACGCTCCAATCGCAACGAGGAACGCAGTATTTATTTGAAAAACAGGGAATTGTATTCAACCCTGGTTTCTCAGTAATGAACAACTGCGTCTTCGTGTCATAATTTCTCAGAAGAACCTGTCAGTGTAACGATATACGCTCAGAAATTATTATCATCAGAGGATAAGTGGTTACTGCCGACCTTCAAAGTTCTGACAACGCCCGTTGAAACTTTGAAATTTGGTGGCGCAGCAAGCATTGTTCCGATGGTGAAGATTGTGAGTGACAGGTTCCAAAGTTTTAAATACGATGACATCGGCACGAGCATGATCTGGGAACACTGGCATCCGTTGAATGCAAGCCACGCAGTTCTTTACTCGGAAAAGGAGAAGCTAATTTGTCTCTCCGAGATGAAACCTTGTCCGAACCTGCCCTTGAAGTTCAGTGTTCTGCGATAGAATTTGAGGATGATTCTCGCTTTACTTATCTCTCCGCTCAGCTTGAATTCTCTTTAGCGGGGAAAATCGTGAAGATAGGGTCGACGGAAGAAAAATCAGTTCACGTGATCAGAATCGAGGGGTTTGGAGAATAAAGCGCATAAATGTAGTTTTTGCTATTTCAATGAAAGCGTGTTTAAAGTTTCAAAATTACATTGGAGCTTTACGGCGAAAAATAGTTCGAACTTGTAATGCTCACAAATTAGATTATACCTACATAGAAGTAAATTTTTCACAGAACTTATTCCAAGACTGATTTTAGTTGGAATCATTAATATTTTAATTATTAAAAAAACAGCACTTACGCACCTTGTTCTCCAATTATCTCAATTCTGGTTGTATTTTAAAAGCCAGCTCTGCTGATTGATTCAGCCAGACTTCTACGTTTGACTTGACTAAATATTCAGTTTGGACAAGCATAGTGTTGATCAACCAACCGTGATTCTGGATGAGTTGACTCAACCAGGGAAGGGAGACTTCGAAGTGCAATCAGAATTTTGCACGTGAGCTAATACTCTCATCAATGCCTGAGACGATTTATTTTCGTTTAAATTTCCAAAGTAAAATACAAGATGACTCATGATTAAGTTTTAAAACTGACAGGAGTCGTTGGGCGAAAATGAGCTTTGATTAGTGTATGATCTCTCTTGAAAATCACTTATCGACGGTGAAAGTCGGCAATCACATAACTCGGTTTGCGACGTCGCGTCGCAGACTTCCTGTCATACTTTATTTTTTAAATGGAAAACTACTCAACGGCAATTCTTTAAAACTGTCATGGTTTTTCTTCTCAATTCGAAGAAAATTCTGCAAAAACTTCAAGAAATAATATCAATTTGTTCTCCATTAAAAAAATGACGTAGAGGCGGAGATTTTCAGACACCGCAAACGAGTTAGGTGATTGCCGACTTTCACCGTCGTTATGTCCTCAGTGCTCCAGCATACTGATGTTCGAGAAAGGAATGAATTTTATTGAATTTAATCTCGTTGTTAGTACATGGAAAGTAAATTAAAAGCATATTTTTTTCAAAGCTTGGAGGGCTGATGTGGATCTGAGACCGAGCAGTTTTGAAGATAATACGCTATCATAAAAAGTCTCATCTCCACATTAAAAAAATCCTCTTAAGCCTCACATCTAATCCTGCATCACTCTGCGGAGAACCACTCTCTTTGAGACAAGTTCGTCAGAAAAGGGAGCCGCTTGAATTTTCAGCGCGGATCCAAAGTTTTCGTGATGAGTGTTCCATAATCCTATCGATGGTTATTACTTTACAAAGACTGGAGAAAAAAGTTTAAGCTGCTTCCACCCTGCTCCCTCAGAAGTTCGAAGAGCACCCGAAAATACTCTTTTCGATATTTTAGGAATGACGAAATATTAAGCTGGGCACGTTGAGGTCCCCCCACCACCAACGAGGTTTCCATGTTGAATGAAAAAATCTGAATTTTATACATTGGGTTCTATGAGCTGCATTTTCAGCACAATCTGGCATCCGGCAACAATGATCACCGCAGACTTTGTAGGACGCGCTTCCGAGTTTCAACATTTAAGTGAAAATACATTTCGGGTTTAGATTGCTTACTCACTCTGCTTCCTCACGATATAATCTAGAAAATCGATGACCAAAGTGACAAACCACGTACCTTCATTTCGATGTTTCAAAATTTCCGCTTCAATTTTTTTTTTCAAGAGAAGCAAGGCAATTTTTTAGCTTGAAATTTTTACAGAATATTTTCCATTGATGTTTAGCAGTCGTAAATGCATAGTTGAAGTGCGCTCCAGCGCTCCATGCACGCTAATAGTATATAGCAAATGAGTAATTTTTATAGGCGGATTATAAATAAACAAGTGGTTAGAAATGAAAACAAAATAATAGGAACTATGCAAAACGATTATCTGGAAATCGGATCTCGGCTGTTTTTAAAACGCCTTCAAATGCGCCGTGATACCTCACGCATTCCGGAGAGTTCAAATAGTTGTATCATTGCGCCGTAAGAATGTGACGGAAGATTTAAATGGAAATAGCCTCCATGCAAGCTGGGCGTGTCGATTTCCTCTGAAATTTTTGCAGTGGTGAATGTATAGCTGAGTGCGCTTCAGGTAGAATTGTATTTAGCAAATGGGTTGTTTTTATAGGAGGATTATAATTAAACAAGTGGATAGAAATGGAAACAAAATAATATGAACTATGCAAAACGATTATTCCGATGACGAACTTGGCTGTTTTGAAAACGCCTTCAAATGCGACTTTATATCTCAGACATTCCGGAGAGTTCAAATAGTTGTATCATTGCACATTAGAAATGCGACGGAAGTTTAACAATTGAAATAGCCTCCATGCACGCTGGGCTTGTCGATTTCCTCTGAAATTTTTGCAGTGGTGAATGCATAGCTGAGTGCGCTTCAGGTAGAATTGTATTTAGCAAATGGGTTGTTTTTATAGGAGGATTATAATTAAACAAGTGGCACGGAATATAACAAAAGAATATGAACTATACAAAACGATAATCCGGGTGTCGGAACTTGGCTAATTTGAAAACGCCTTCAAATGTGGCGTGATACCTCACGCATTCCGGAGAGTTCAAAAAGTTGTATCATTGCGCCGTAAGAATGTGACGAAAGATTACAATTGAAATAGCCTTCATACACGCTGGCTTTGTCGATTTCCTTTGACATTTTATTCGATGCGGAATATAATACTGTTTCATTTGATACCGTTTCATCCCATATCATGGAGTTAAATTGTATTCAAATATTTAGTTTTTTAGTATATTTTTCAACTTCATCTTATAAGAAACCATTAGAGCGTTTGTAGCATGGGATTTCTTGCAGTCGTCGCTGCTAGTATCAACATTCAACAGTCAATCTAGAAGAAAAGAAAAAAATGCATTCTTTGCAATCCAGCACGTATCAAAAAAATGAAGCGCCTGCAAATTGCTGTGCCTCGGCAACGACTGAAAATTTATAATTAAACGTGTCTTTGGTAAAAAAAAAAAAAAAAAAAAAAAAAAAAAAAAAAAAAAAAACTCTTTGCGTGCAACATAGTACCTTCCTGCATAAGTATGATCAATTTGCACATTCGTTTAAAAGTATTGTGCCTGGTACAGAATTATGATGTAAGATGGAACCCATTTCTTGACTGTCCATCGCGCATCAATGTTTAAATCGGTGTGTTCCAGTCAGTTAAAATGAGGTCTCAGGCGGGAAGTTTCTTGCTGGAGGAGATGAATGAAAATTATGCAGGCAAGAACATACGTGTGTGATCTAAAGCTGCAGCAGCAAATGTTAATAAATGGATCGTATTCGATAGTGATTTGATGTATCGTTTGGTTCAAAACAATATAGAACATAACCACCTCAAACCAAATTTTTAAGACATTCGTCAGAAAAGCTGAAAATGAGAGATTTCGAAGCAATATTACTACTCTTGGCCATCTAGTACTCATACGAATCAAAAATCTATCACAAAAAACCCGTTCCGTCAGATTGCTCATGACTTTTGAGGCTATGTTTGTGCCTTCAACCAATCGATATCGATACAATCTCACCCGTTTGATGTATCGAATACGATCTATAAAATGAAAATACCGGGAAGAGGGCATGGACTAACCTGAAGTGGCAGATGACTTTGATTTCATGCTTGGTGCAAGGAAAGTTGGCATGAGTGCTGCGGCTACGAATGGGGCGAGATTATTGTATGGCGCCAGGAGTGCCAACTGCAGTAGGCCTATAGGTTCCGGCACAAGCGAGAAAATGTAAGAAAAAGCATGGAGAAAATGTTATCGAACAAACTAAGGGACAGATGGGTGAGTGAAGCTAAATCTAAAACACATTCCTTTTGGATGGAGACAAGGGTGATACGTGCTAGAATCTGGTGGATCGGTCAAACTAAAGTTCAATATATTTATTTTATTGATCAGAGGAAAGCTGCCCATTTTCAGATACTTTACTATCTTTTGTGCAGCAAGAAATATCGAGGATAATCGATCCATGCATTGAAATTTTGTTTAATTATCCCCCTACCATTTTTATTATATTTTACTATCGTTTTAATTCTTATTTTTACTGACTCAGAAACGTATTTGATACGGCGATTAAATACTGGTGAAAAAATGTCTCTAAGATCGTCAAATTCATGTTAAAAGTCTATTGAAATCAATTAAAATTAGCAAGCAAGCTAAATGTAGAGGCTAGGTAATAAAACTGTATAATAAATCAAGCTGGCTGGTGAGAAGCTGATCAACCTTTATTAATTTCTTTTTTAATTGGAGGGCAGTCTTTTACAAAAGAAAATCATTCCCACTGCCTTTATTAAAATATGTTTAATATTTTAACTGCCCAATACTGAGTAACGCTGAACGAAAAAAATCAAATCGCAAGCTTACAGTTTAAAACCTATAATTTTGTGTGTATGGCTACTTTATTTTATATAAATGAGGAAACTACTTTGAAAAATACCTCTTTGCCTAGGATCCGTTATGTGGAGTCCAGTGCTTGGCATTCTCCTGAGGAGATCAGTAACTCTTGACCCGACGAACATGAAGGAACAAAAAGAAAATATTCCCCAGGCAGCGTAAACCAAATAACTAATATAGGACATAAACTGGAAAAAAGAGAATAAAAATTACATTCTATAGGACACAATGAGAATAACAATTATTTAAATTTAAATATAAATAGCAAAAGATACCATAATGATGAGGCCAGTAATTCATTATAATCAAAAGACTTCCAAAATTAATGTAGGGTGATATTTATCAACCACCTAATATTCATTAATATTTATAATTTGATACTCGTTTTACTAGTTTACTCCATTAATAGCTGCTAGAGCGAAATGAAGTGTCGCAAATTGAGAAATGAAAAATAACGTCACACAATAATTTTAGGAGTGATCATAAAAATACATTATAATGGGTGTATTGCACGCAAGAGATACAGCCAAATAAATACAATCTTATGAGGTAAAACGCTCGGAAATCACGTCGTGCACGAAAAAAAATCTGAAATCCATTCCTCAGCCCGCAATCTGCGGAGAGACAGAGCACTGGGGAGAACTTCATGAGCTGCCCTGCGCCGTCGGCAGCGCGCATAGCACACGAACCGCCTGCCATTATTACACTTCATTTAGTGTTGAGAGTTCACTGACTGCCTACTTCACACTACTAGTGTTTAATTTTCAAAGTCGAAAACCAAAAAAAGTTTCAAAAAAAAAAAAAAATAAAAAAATACACAAGTTTCTTCAGGGACCTCGTTCACCACCCGGCGCCGGCGCCGGGAGAGCCGTGGTGTGCTGCCAGCGCGAAACGCGCACTGACGCCTACAAACCTAAGGGGATACTTCACGCATTGCGCCATGCTTGAAGTATCCCCTTAGGTTTGTAGGCGTCAATGCGCGTTTCGAGCCGCCAGCACACCACGCCGCAATAGGTCATGGTGTTAAAATCTTGGCAAGTCTAAATCGAGATTTAATGTCTTTAAATTCGAAATTAAAGACTCAAAAAATTTGACTAACGTATAACTTTCGTGATCTTTCAGTCATTATCCGACATATTCCTTCCAGTGTGGAGTTCTGGACTATAGTGCACCGCGGGCGGTGGATCATGAAATTCTCCCCTAAGCTCAATCGGTCTTCGTAGATTGTAACACGCTATACTAAGCTTCCCACGTCTGCGAGCAGTTATTCTGTCATCGCCGACCAGATTTGCACAGATAGGAGTCAGAAAAACTACCCAGATAAGACAGGAATATTTAGCCAATATTTAAACAATATTGTTTTGGTATTTGTGCAAACATTGGGCCAATATTGGTTAAATATTGAGCCAATGTTAAAATCGTACACCATCTTTCCTTTTGGCATAAATACTGTGCCAATACTTTGGCTGAGAATACTGTGCCAGTACTTCAAAGGGAAAGTATTTGGATATCAATATTGAGACAATACTACACCAATATTGAATCAATTTAGGGGTTCGCAGCTAGGGGATGGTGGAAAAGGGTTAATTGTGGAAATAATTTTAGAAACCATGAAAAATAAAAATAATGAAACCACTGGGATGTTATTGAATCGATTTTGCAGATTAGAAATTTTTCATCCACCTTGGGGATTGAACCCGGGACCTACCTAACACTAACCGATGACCCTACCGATTGAGCTTCACTAGACGATGTATTTCAGTGACTTAAAACCGGTATTTAACGTCGAGTTGGACGGGCAACTAGGATATTTTCCATCTGCCTGGATTTGTCCGTGTATTTATTTTACTTTTTACTTTACTATATTTTTTAAATTTATTTTATCGTTTTACTTTGTTTTATTTCCTTGCTGACTCTATTTTTTTCTTCACTCTTTTTTTTTTTTTTTCAAGCACTTCATTTTTTTTCTTTAATTATTTACTTCTTATTCCTTTACTTTGTTTTGTTTTACTGTAATTTATTTTAATACTTCATCATAATTTTTTTGACTTCAGTTAATTCTTTAAATTCATTCTATTCTTTAACCTCATTTAGTTTTTTCCCTTATACTTTATTTTTTTCTTCATCTCAGTTTTTTTACTTCATCTCCTTGCTCCCTCTAATGTTTTACTTCAGTTTAGTCTTTGACTTCATTTTATCATTAATTTGATTTACTTCATTTTATTTCTCTTCTTTTGTCTCTGTTATTCTATTATTTCCACCATTCTATTATTTTATTTATTTTTTTCTCTTTAAATTTTTCATCGACATTCTGAGATGCATTTTGCATTTGATTGCAGTTTGATGTCTTCCTCATAAAGACTATGCAGGTGCGATTGCCATAATCTCACAGCTGCACAGCTACTAAGTGCAAGTTCTACAGGAGACCAATAAGCACACGAGATCAAGAATTTCTTCTTCAGTTGAATTTAAATGTTTCATTTGAAATTTGAAAAATAAAAAATAAACAACCAGATGTGAATGAATGATAACATTCTCATTCAATGATAATATTCACAACAGTACATGAACTACAAACGAAACAAAAAAAGAAATAAACTGAGATCACGCGCAAATACATTGAAAATGACCTCAAGGAGGTGGAAATTCAACAATTTCTTGGGAGGCAAAAAAATATATATTATATTATATTATATTAAATTTGACAACAACTGCAATAACCTTTATGAATAATAAGGTTGAAAATAATGGATAATTGTTCAGAAAGAACACATTTGAGCTACGTCTTAAATCTAAGCCTTATTATGTTTAATACTTTTCGTTATGGGCAGGCATTTAGTATGATGACTTATACCGATTAGGATATCGAAAATATTTTAAAAATATTTTGAATAGCAGTATTATTGTTTAAAATATTTTCAAAATATTTTGAAAATACTTACCAATGCATTACTGTCTTTTAAAATGTTTTTAAAATATATAATAAATATTTTGAATATAAATATTATATGTACTGATATTTTAAAAATACTCTCACGATATAAATTTTTACAGTATTGAAATACAAATATTTTGAAAATATTTTTATGATGTTTTGGGTAAACATATTATTTTTAAAAATACTAAATGATGATTCTTTAAATATTTTCTAAAAAAATAATTTTGATTATTATATTATCAAAATATTGTCAGTATTGTGTAAATATTGCGACAGTACTGACAATATTTGCCCAATATTGTAAAAATATTATGTCTTATCTGGGTACTCTGAGTAAACAAATGATTTCAGTAACTTTTTAAATTGTATGATTTCAGTCGTTTTCGAGCGTTTGTTTCCTTTTTCTTTATTTATTTTGCAAAAGCAAGAGCTTTGAATGAATTGAAATCTTACTCAAGAAGAGTTCATAACAGACCAAGAGATTGTTTGTTTATTCATTAGGTCTCTCTCCGGGCAAACCTGACTGCCGGCCACCACGAAAAACTGCCCGCAATCCCGCATGTGCGGTGAAATTGAAAATGCGTGTTACAAATTACGCAGATTGTGCGCTAAGGAGTGGATTTCAGACTTTGTTGATGTGACCAACATGCCTGGTCCATGGGAATTAGAAGATCGCCTTCAATTAATCGTTTAGGCAACTCCACGACTCCCTCGCTCGTATTTTTCGGCGCATCTTGTGGATGATGGTTGAAAACGTGTTTTATTTTCAATTAGAGATTGTATTTATAAGTATTTTGATTTTTCCCGCTGTTTTTGATTACGGAATTTTTCAGTTCTTACAGGACTCATGGGGCTTCGGACTCTTACAGGTTTATACGGCAACAATTCCTTTTAAATATTGTTAAATCTGGGAGAGTGAGTGTTATTATTAAACTCGCTCCAACATCAATGACCGCTGATAATCTTCATCTTTACTGCATTTAAAGTAACTCATAGCCGCTCAATGACGCGTTAGAGCCTTCAAGACTCACTGAGCATATTTATGCAATCCGGTCATTTTTTTTCTTTGATAAGCAATCTCTTACGTATATGAACCTGGTAATAGCAACCTGCAACTACTTAATTAATTTTATTTTCTACGCACAAGAATGATGAAGGTTCGTTTATTTGCAATATACAGTGTATTTCGTAAAAAGAAATTTTGAGATTATCGTATGATATGAAATTGATGGGTTATTGGATCTCAAATATAACAGTCGCCGTTAAAAATGTTACTACTCACGAATAAATGATGATGTATAGAGGTAACAATGTCTAAAATGAGCATGACTCCAAATTGCAAGACAACCATCAAAGAAATGAACGTTTTGCTTGCTAATAATTTAAATCCTAATTTGACCTGTTGGAAACAGAGAAAAAACACACAATCATGAAAAATTTGGAATAAAAAATTGGGAAATGTCTTACACTCTGGATAAAATGTTTTAAGCTAAAACTTCTGAATCTAAATTTCCAGTTAAATTCGCGTTCGGATACTTTGAGCTTCTATTTAGGGTTCACAAAATAAATAAGTTAGAAAGAAACACCCAAGATATGGCTCGAAGCGTAATATATCACTGCACTTCCAAAAAATTGAATTATGAGCAATATTGTAGCAAAATTCGCTCAATATCTCGATATTAGTTTACTTATCACGATAAATTCTTCCTCAATGTTTAAAACCGTTTCTCTCTACTGTCATGCTATGCAATCTACGATTGCAAGCCTTTTTTCTTCACTTCCCTCTTCAGTGACTGTAAACCTCGTCAAAAGCCAGCACGCGAATCAATTTTCACCGAAAATGACTTGAAATCTTTTTGTGATTGAAGTCGTCAATCGACAAAGTTCTCACAGCACTCAAGAACGATCTATCCCCCAAGCAGCACGGCCCTGTGTCGAGAGCCTATAGACTGCGTTTAAAATGGATTTTCCTCTCATACTTTTAGGGATCTCATCAATCAATCTACCCCACTCTTTTCTCTTTCAATTTATTTTATGCTCAATTCATCCCTTTACACTCCTGGGGGCACATAGAATTCCTTCCGTTGGAGATAGTTGTCGAAACGAACCCCGTGCCATAATATCGTAATGCAAACATTTGGATTATCTGAGATGAATCCGATGCAGAGAGATGTATAATTGATCAAATATATTTCCATCGCGTGAAAACAACGAACATAACGAGGTTGGCAAAAAAAATCGTTCTCTCAAAAACAGGTTCGAGTACCTTGAGGAACTTTTTATGAAGTAAGGAAAAAAAATCCTTACTCGGCGTCCAAAGGACTCGGGACAATACTCTACCCGGCGCTTCAATTATTATTTCACCATTCTCGAAAATGACTGTGAATATATCCGATTAGTAAAATTTAATTATTTCATTGGAAAGAAGATTAAAATAACCCGAACGAAACAAGACTGGATGATTTCCTTCCCAAAAGTTCACTTCGAATGCTGTAAAGCGTCAATTTATTTGAAGTTTAAACAGAACAGGAGTTGGGGGTTGGAGGCAACTCCCCAGGTTAACTCGACCTAGTTCTCGCTCCAATAATAGACACAATTCGGATGCAAATACTAGCCGTTGATCGAGGTAAAGTAGAGCCCGATTCAATACTCTCATCGGAAACTTAAGCAAAATGTAACCTGGTAACAATATGTAAAAAGTTACGTAAATAAAAAGGAAACGCCTTTAATCGTTTGACTTTCGTAAGTTTTAATAATTCGAAAGTATGTTCTAAATTCGTGAAATTGTCAAAACGCACCCCTCTAGACTATTTACAATGAGTTGCATTGACTTTTATAACTATTGGCAGCACATTCATATTTAATACGGATGGCTGATTGAAGGCAAAATTCGAGGCGCGAATGTAATGCGGCGCAGGTGATATGAAAATGTTCGCGCTAAACCAGCTCTATACTCAAAAGATGAGTTCAATAAATCATTACATGCGAAAGACGTCAACAAAAGAAGACGAATACTCTCCAATGTTTCTAATCTTATGTGATTATTATAATTTTTTCTTTCTCACCTTATAAAAAAACGGTGTGAAAATTATCGCTGGTAATAATTCAACATTAATTGATTGAAATGAGTGATTTGAAGTATCTCTACTATCAAACCGCACAAGGACTCCGGTATTTCAAAGGCTTTTTCAGAGGAACGTTACTCTAATCTGCAGCGCTGAGAAGAAAAGCTGTATGAAAATTCAAACATTGCCAAAATTCTCCTGGTCAAAATATTTATTTTTGACGGAATTCAAAGATGTGGTCGTAAAATTATCAGATACTTTATAATCATTCGCCACCAAAGTTCTAAGCGAAAGTATAAGAAAATATTCAAATTTTTCTCAGAAAATGTTCCTTTCATGAAAGGAAATTTGACAGCATTTGGAGGCGCCGACGATTTATTTTACACCGTTAGTCGTGGCAACGTTGCTCCATCAGTTTTGGCGGATACATAATGACTTGAGAAGACCGGAGGACGGGGGGCGCGCATTAATTTCAGGAGAGTCACCGCACCGGGGAAAAATTAATTACGGAGTTTCGAGATTCCCTCTGGTATTTACCGCGTTTCCGACGGAGTAATAACTTGTTTAGACCATTTAAAGTGTTACCCTTATTTACTCAACCCGCTGCACATCCAAGGAATGGCAGAGACGATGGATCTAAAACGCCCCCCCCCCTCCCCCTCACTTCTATTTAGAGGCAAAAATCGAAATCGAAGAGCAAATTTTCAGTATTTCTTATTTTTTTGAGAGTGAAAACGGAGGAGGGGGGAGGGGGAGGGGGAGGGGGAGGGGAGGGGGATGAGAGAGGAGGGGAGGGAAGTAGGAGGAAAAGGAGGAGGGGAAAGAGAGATATAGAAGAAGTGTGAAAGGGGAGGTAATGAATGGAGGTGAGAATGGAGCGGAGAGGAATGAGAAAAGAGGTCAGAATTAAAGCTCGACTCGAGGAAAGACAAAACGCCTTCAATTGAGAATGATACTGCGCAACACACAGAGGCTTGAATAGTTGTATCATTCCATTATTTACGATATCACAATGGTCCAAGTCCGGAGGGAAGAGATATAATGGGAGGGGAGAGAGACAGGGTGAGGTGGGGGAAGAGAAATGGAGGGGGAGAGATCGAGCACAAGGGGAGAAAAGCGCTAAAAATTTCGGAGCGCTTTTTGACAGATAGAACATAAATGAAGCGGTTAAGGTTGACTACACGGAGTGAAAGAGGCGATCAAAAGGGTGTTAATGAACCAAAGACAAGATGCGGAGATGAGCAATATAATATACGTTTTTTCATCAAAATTTCACGCAGAAGGCAATTTTAGCTACAAAAATCATTGAATGTAACTCTTTATGAAGGAATTTACGTTTTTCGATGCACAAATTCAAGCTTGCCGCCTTGCATGGATTTGCCGCTTCTGGTGACGAAATGGCAACAATGAAAATGCATGCAAATAGAGTCCCGCGTGCTTTTTCTTCTTTTCAGAGCAAACTTTTTGATTGAATTACTCCGGGTAACGAAAACGGGATGTCAGGGCAACTACGCGATGTACGGAAAGAGCAAGACAAAGCGTCAAACATGAGTGGAAAGACTATACTCGCGCTGCTGAGAGGAGGCAATATTGTTAGCTCGGGAACGGCATAACTCCTCACCCCAGTGAACAGTAGGAGGTTTACCTCGAATTTTTCTCTCTAATTCTCCCCATCGCGATAATCAGACGGACCCCCTTTGATCCAATCTTTTCTTAAAAAAGTTGGGACTATTCTTCAATATGTTTATGATATACTTAATATAAATAATTGTACAAAATGAAAAGGGAATACATAGAAAAATAAGCCAGAAATAAAATAAATCAACCAAACAGTTATATCGCTAATAATTTTTAACAATTTTTATTAATTTTTATCATTATTTATATTCAAGGTCTGTTTTATCAGATAAAATTTGGCAGAGAGTGATAGTATTTACCAGACTTTCTATCTCACCGTATCTCCTCCATATCACCATGTGTCTCATATTCTTATTATACAACGAGCAAATGAAAAACGGTTATTTTGGACTGAAGAATTCCCATTTTTCGTATTTATTAGTTGCGTGATTTACCCGTTACATATTACGATCTCGATTATAAGCTTTATCTTTCGTCTAATAGGTGTTTAAAAAAAGGGAATATTCGACCATGCCAATTGAATAGAGCGATGAAAAGAGGTCTGGCAACAGCCTTGGGTCCATCGCACAGCGCCGAAATTAAAACTGAGCGAGCCCTTTTCCCTTTCGATTTATCATCGCCCCATGAAATTTCGGCCGAGAGCCCCCGGTCCCCTACAGCAGGGTCGCGAGCGGGCGGAATGCAATTAAACCGTTAATTGTCGGTGACGACTTGCAGCAGCGTAATTATCCGCCGCGGAATACCAACTGATTTTCCGGATCGTCTATCTCCAATGCTTTCGCTCCACAGCGCGCAGTTACATTCCGACTGTGTATTTAAATGCTTAGCGGACTGCTTTACAGAAAAGGAGGAGTTTTCCGCGCAACTTGTCAACAACGCGCGTTATGCCATTTGAGAGATCTAACGAGTGGAGTGGTTTATACGACGCGACACCTTCAGTAATTGAAGAAGTCCATTTAAGATTTAATTGCACGATCAAACCTCAAACCGAATTTCAGTATCGCGTCCCACTGACTTGATACGTTTTGAAAGCGTTGACCGTCTCGGGTTGCGGCGACGCTATTCGATGTATCGGCGGTGAAACTGCAAAAAGGCGTAACTCGATTGTGGTGTTTCAAAATCTTCATTTTTATTATTCAAAAGTGGACCAAACCAACATTGTGGCAGACAATTTTCTTCACATGAAGACGAAAAGTCACAAGATTTTCAAGGAGTGAGCGTCAAGTATGGTTTTCCACGTAGAAAATGAATTGTGACATCATGTGGTGAATTTCACCACAGAAATGTGATAGAGTCAGGCAAAATAACTCTTTAAGTATGTAATTTTTTTTTAAAAAAAAAAAAAAAAAAAAAAAAAAAAGAAGGATTTGCTTTCCTTAAAATGCGTCAAGTGGGAACATGCAGCGACCCCCCAACTTTCTTCGCCCAACGAGCAACAGTGGTCGCGAGCAATATTAACTGTCATCACAAAATACAAAATTAAATTTACCTGGGTGAGCTGAAGGAACAATAGTTGCAGGAAACAGAAGCCAGAGGCAAGACTAATGAAACCCGTATCCCACAGTAGAGACTTTATTACGTTCGGCAGGATCTGTTGATCAAAATAAGAAAAATAGTAAGGGATGAAGTTTTTTTTTCTTCTTTTTTTTCTGCTGGTTTTGTGGCTTCGTGTCTAGCACCTTCAGTCAACTTTAGACTATGTTTATTGTCCGTAGACATCGAGGGATTTTAGGCACATCCATGCTCCAGGCTTTTCAAATTTTCAGGGATTAGGGCCGAGTAGAATCTATTTCAGCAGATCTACTCTTCAATTCCATGAAAATTAGACGCCACCACCGAGATTCGAACCCGGTGACCTATTGACCTAGAGTCAGAAAGGGATGAAATTGATTTCTTTGACAATTAGCAGATTAAAATGCAGAACTGTAAAAACTCGAATTCAAATTTTTCGATCTGGGCAGTTGCTACTGTCGTGAAAATAGTAATTCCTACATTAGGTTCAGTGACGATTCTTGGAAGTTGTCGACACAGTTTTACTTTATTTAAATTCATCAAAATATCGAATTTAATCTGAGTGAAATCGATTGTTTCATGTTTATTCAAATGAAGGAAAAGATGAGTTGTCAACTAAGGAAATTCGCCACTAATTAAGATCTCCTGCAGCGTCTGTGATCATTTGAGGCTAAAAAAAATGTATCAATGGAGATTGGTTACAATAGTAAGGAAATCTAACCAAACTAATGTTAAAGACGACAAATTTAGTAATTTTCTATGTCAATTTAAACATTATTAATTTTTTACTTTTTTGTAAAAGAAAATAAATAAATGAAAGCCGCTGACCAAAGAAAAGTTTATATGATTTTCAAAAAGTAAAAATTATTAAACGGTAATGGCATGCAAACGCGATTAAAATTATGACTTACCATTTTCATGTTGTACGCGTCAATACTAAGGCAACTGGCTCTAGTAATACCTAATAAACATATAAATAAATTTACTATCGACATGAGCGGTCGATTTGATATTTGAGACCTGAAAAAAATAAAAAAAAAATAGTGTAATTAGTATAAAACCATTGAATTTCATTAAACATGTAAAGAGTATTACATTAATAAGCTTGGTTGAATTAAAATGACCAGTTGCGGACCGTAGAAATGAAAGTCCTGAGGAAAATAGCAGGCTTTACGCTCCGAGATAGGCAGACCAACGAGTCAATTCGCGAAGAGTGCCAAATTCAAGATATTGCCAAATGGACCAAGATGCGCCGGAAAATGTGGTCGGAACATGTTGAGAGGATGGAGGGGGAAAGGCTTGCCAAGATTTGTATGGTAGGACGACCTCATAGCCAAAGGCAACCCGGACGACCGCCCAAGAGATGGGCACAGAGCTGCCTTTCATCCCCGGAGAATTAAGTGATCTCTCTCATCGGCATCATATTACTGTTTTAGAGGCTAGACAAACAGGGTCACGGCCCTAGTCAGAAGGCAGAAGAAGAAGAAGAAGAAGAATTAAAATGAGATAAATAAAAAGCAAAGTTTTCAATGTTGATTTCCGCAAAAAGTTTGGTTCCTTTCCTTTAAACTCAATTGTACCCACTTTGTATTACAACTGTCATAATAATAATAACGCCAAAATATAGGATGCAACTGATCCTGCTCCACGGATGTCTAGGTTGCATACACGCAAAATCGAAGGCGTTTTGCTTTTGCTCGTAGAGCTGCCATAACGCGATGCGCTATTTTATTTCTTTGCCCTTGCCGTCATCGGCAAAAACAAGCCGGGAAATTTAATTTCCTTCAATATGAACGGTTTGAAAATTTAAAAAAAAAAAATTCAGAGAGACGAAGTGCTTGAAGGTCCTCAGGCTGAGACAGCGAGGGGAGCTGTGAGCTGTTTTTTTAGCTCAATTTTTCTTCCTTGGAACTTCATTTCTTCTAAAAACAAACAAAATAAATTAGAAAATAGGGGAGCATCATCACGCAACCGAGGAAGTAATTTAAAGGGAATTTGGAGAAGTAATGGAATCAGGTTGTGGGGGGGGGTAGTAAAAGAAGAAGAGGAGCACCAGGTGTCCCTCCCTCCTCTCACACACAGCCGCCAAACTTTGAGCACAAACATGCATTTTAATGCTAATACAATGGTTTCTTCACCGATATTTCCGTGAAAAGTTTTAAGATAGGGCTAAATCGGACTAATTCCGGTGCTTGACTGGTGAAAGCAATATGATCGGGGGGGGGGGGGCACCCCCTGACCGCTTCACAGTGCAACTCTCCTATCTAACCGCTTTGTGCCTCAATTGTCAAGCGTTGCGGGTACAAATAATGTAAATTTTGGCCTGATAAAAATAAAAGTTCCAGTGAAATTAGTCAGTTAGCCAGACTTTCACAGGAAAAAATTTAATCCATCGAACCAAGACCCTTCATTTGATAACTTACATTGATCCTAATTTTATTTACTTATTTAAAGTAGATTTGTTTGGGAGGAAGATATTTTTTTTACCTCATAAAAATTCCTACCACGATGGACAGCGACAACTAAAAATATGCTTCATCAACGTTGCATCGATATATTTGCTCTTGAATAAGGGACTCCAAAGATGCAGTTAAAATCCTCAGGTAAGATTTATTTTCTTATTCTTCGTATATTTTGCAACACTTTTCCCGAGACGAGGGTGGCGCTAACGTCGTTATTAAAGCTCAAAAGTAGACGCGGAGCTCCGATGATGCAATGAACTTCCTCAGCTGTCAGATTTTAGTGTAAGCAGTATTGACTACCCATGCGTACTAAATTTAACCTCCTGGTAAAATTCCAATTACAAGACAATATGTGACAACATCTGCGGCTCTATGGTCAGAAAATAAGTGCCGTTTTGTTGTAAATTATTTTACTTCTTTTTCTCAGTTCGAACCCCAATTCAAAATTCCCTCCCTCGTAACATCCATCCCTTAAGGTCAGATGATCCAATAGTAGTCGCTGAAATTTTAAAACTCTTTAAACAATTAAATTTAAAAATTTAAGGTTTCCTGGTCCCCGACGTAAACAGCCTGGTTGCTGATCGTCGTAAATTAAGTAACTAACTAACTAACTAACTAACAAATATTTCTCCTATCTCATTCTTAGAAAATGTCATTACAATATGAATGTGTGAGTTCGCAAACTTTCTTTCAATATTTTTCTTTTAGTCAGCACACTAATCAGAATTCGTATCGTGAATCACCCTGAAATCTGCTGATCTGAATCTTTTGATCGATTAAATTGAAGTAAGCATTTGTTTTGACTCTTTCAGGGAGCGAGAAGTTTACACTTATCACAGGCAATCAGTCAATTCAGGCATTTCATTAAATGCCTAGGCAGATTGTCATGTTTTGACAGTATGCACAATTTTGTAAATTTAAGACAAAAAGCTCACGGGTTTTGATTAATTTGGAAAAGTGATTCACCCATTCTACGAACTATCCTTGTTCCTTTCTCTTCACACGTTTCTGATATATTGAAAAGTAAACAATTATAAAAATTCTATGTTTTACAATATGCTGCACTTCTAAGGTAAATGTTCGTTCAGGACCTAAAAACCATTTAAAATATTATCCTATGATGCACATTTTTACAGAGATTTTTTTCTCGCATGATGAATGAATTATTTTTTATAAATATAGCAAAATAATGAGTATATAAATCTAAGTAAGAATATTTTACTATATTTGCTTTCGACGTAACCACGATTTCAAAAAACTTTGATTTCAGACTATCAACCTGAATTTTTAAATTTGCTGGGTGTTTTGCGGATTCTGCATAAAATTCGACTTGTTGAAGTGTACCGAAGTGCTTAATTTCTTACCCTTCTCGGTGCTCCATCGAAGCATACTCAATTTCGCTCTCTGCTGAGTCGACCCGAGAGCCAAGTGAACTTATCATCATGAAAATAGCTCTCACTACAAGCTAAGTGAACTATAGAGTAAAATGCTTTTGATTCACGTTTGACAACAGGCTCAGATGCTAACAGACAATACAAAGGCGGAGAACCGTGCACAACAAAAGCTATTCTCCTCCTTCATTCCCCCCTTTCCTTGTTTCTTGCGCTCTCGTTGTGCTGAGAAAGCGTACTGTTGTTGCCTACCTTTCGTCTTGTCACTATCGACGGAATATTGCCGGGAAAGCGGACGAGCCCTTTGCTCTTTTTCTCCGAATCAAGGCAAGAGAGGATAGGAATGCAAATATTTGATTCAGCCGGGAAAATATTCGGAATTTATGAAAAATCTGCATCGGTAATGTGCCTTTAGAATTTCTCCAGCCTCCTTCCTCATCCTTCCCTACACATTCATAAGCATGTGAAAGTAATCAACTTGATTGAAATCGCTCACCATATGATTTTTAGGTCAGATGCTCCACAAACTTTGCAACCCAACATTTTTGACTCTTTTTAAGTGTTCAAAATCACTGAAATGTTTTAGTCATTTTTTAAGTCTACTTTGTAAAAAAATACAAGAAAAATATACTAAAAAACGGATATGATGAGGCTATAAATAAAAACTTGCTCGATGGTGGGTGCAGAGGTTGACTTCTTTTTTAAGGAGCTAGCGGTGCCCCGCCTCTGTCCTTTTTTTTATTTTTTTTTTTTTTAATTTCAGTCGTATCTTACAAGCTATTTTAAAAAAATCGATACCCTTGTTCGAATCGTAGCGTCCGTGAGGGATTCAATTTTCAAAATTTTCCGGGAGAGGTTTCCCGGAACCCCTCTTACGGGAAGGGGGAGGGGCGGTGTCCCACCCCCACTCACGTGCCAACAAAATGGTTCGAAAGCTTTTGGCACCAACAAGCACAAAGGTCTGAACCGTCTGTTTTCTTGTTTTTGATCTTAAACTTTCAGATTCCTCTCCAGTTGAGAATAGGCATGTAATTCGCTGAAAATTTCCTGCCTGTTTTTATCATTTATCCGTGTCACATCCGAATTTTCAGTATGCTTTTCCTGTATATTTATTGTTGGGTCGAGCTATTGCGTTATGTTTCTTTTATCACTTTGTGAATCTTTGTGATAAAAGTGATTTTTGCACTGATTTCTGGCCCGAGGACATTCTTTTAACGTCAAAGTTTCATAGGTATGCGGCATTAGATGCTTGAAAGTTTTCGATAATAACTCTTCACTGCGCAGACGTACTTATAAAACCACAAAATTATGACATGATAACTGCTTTAAATGCCTTACTGAGGGAAACTGCCGCAATAAAAATCTAACGTTGCCAAACTTCTCCCGATAAATGCTAATTTTCTCGAAAAATAATTTGGGAGCATTTTTCTATCTAACCCAGACATTTGAGCATAAGTATGCCGACAGGCATTACGTACGACACACGAGAATTTTTCGTTGAGTATCGTCCAATTCTTCTTCGAAGATACAAATTTCTTTACATTGAGCTTGTTCGTATTCCACTGAAAAAAAGTACGGTCATATGAACCGAGAGTTCGGTGTGCCATATCATCCCGACTAGTCGGTTTGTCAAACTGAACTTTCGGATCGAGTAACCGAATGTTCGACTCATGATAGAAATTTCTTCGACCGTTCACTTTACCGTTGAAGTTCGGTTTGACGAGCCGAAAATTTGGGTTGATAACCCGAATTAGTTGGGGTGATATGGAACACCGAACTTCGGTTCATACGACCAAACTTTTTTTTCAGTGCCGTTCTTAAGAGCCCCACGCGGAGCCTGAAACGGAAGCACCAATCAAAGAGAACCATACTGCCGTGCAACGCAAAAACGCCGTAAACGTCATTTTACATTTTTCGGAAACAATGTATCATGGCAGGAAAAGTTTTGTACCTCGGGACAACGTTAATTTTTCACGGAATTCTTTCGCAAATACTATCAAGAGCTCTTCCTGAAAATTTGAGGTGCATGGGTGAAACAGTTTTTATTTTATAAAGTGTTAAGTTCCAAAAAACGAGGGAAAATCTCGATGGATTTGCGGCGTTCTTGCTTAAAACGGCACACTGGAAAAAAAAACACATTAGATCTAGAGTCCAGACTCTTGAAAAC